AACATCACTCATTGCTTGACCCTCACTTCATCTGTAGAGGGAAATTGGTTTTTACTCCATCATAAATCATCAAAAGCGTGTTACTGTGCTGGAACACTGGAAAATTAATGTTTTCACCATGTTTGTGTTTCATCATCTTTATATAAAAAGGGCACTATTACTGCGGTGAATGTGTCGTGGTAAAAAATGCATATAACCAGATGGATTCAACCAAGAGCTGTTTGTGTCTGAAACCGTGAGCATTAATGTACCTCACCACTGGCCTGATAGAGGAACATGTGCTTAAAAGATAACACATAAAGCTTAAAAAATTTACTTTAGGATCCAGTTCAGACTAACTTGCATGGAACAGTGTGTGATGATAAATGATTTTGGAGTACTGTGATATGACGGGTCACTGTATGACAGTGGCATTCTTTGGGTCCTTGACCTCAATAGAAATCTATTCATGGAATTCATCTTCAGATTGTTCTCCAGGCACAGATTAATCAGGAAAAGCCCTATGGAAATAACACTAAAATTATATTACACCCTTGATGTTTTATAGGATCCTGTCATGATTTAGTTCACTTATCCACTTTATTTTTGACGTTAGATCGTGCGAGGCCATTTATAACTTGAATTTGCAAGGTTTCCGGTGTCATTCGCTTCCAGTTAGGCCTATTTTACATATACAAAAACAGTCTGATATGCTGCTTGAGACTGCAAACTGATATTTGTTACCATATTATTTTAACTCATACATTAACACACTGGTTCATAAAGCAAACGGTTTTACCTTTTACTGCACTTTGTTATTCTTTTAGTTTTTTACATAGCTGCTAATGAAGTCTGGCAGAAAATAGCAAACTTCCGCATTGTGAAATAAAGTGGATAGACTAGTTCTAATAATGTGACAGAACAAACTGATTTTAGGAACTCCAGGACCATTAGACCATATTGTGCAATATAGACATTTAATTGATAATGAATTTCACGACTGCACTTTGTTATTCTTTTAGTTATTTACATAGCTGCTAATGAAGTCTGGCAGAAAATAGCAAACTTCTGCATTGTGAAATAAAGTGGATAGACTAGTTCTAATAATGTGACAGAACAAACTGATTTTAGGAACTCCAGGACCATTAGACCATATTGTGCAATATAGACATTTAATTGATAATGAATTTCACGTAATTAAATATAGGCCAGGGACCTTAATTAGCTGGTTCAGGTGAGATTAATTAGGGTTGGAGTTAAACTCTGCAGGACACTGGCCCTCCAGGAACAAGTTTGGAGACCCCTGATATAGGCTATTAAAATAATGGCAAACATTTTATCATATAAACAAACATTTAACATATGCTTGACTACAAAACAGTATTGGACAGAATCATTGTCCAGGAAAAAAGAAAATCCCATACAGCCAAAAATATATATATTTTTATAGCCAAAATACATTTTAAATATTGAACGTATAATGTAAACAGCGAAGCTCTATTAAATATGTTTTTAGTGAAAAGTGAAAATATAGGCTATTTCAAAATGTATTTCAGAAGCAAGAATACATTTTCTAATCTTACAGTACATTCTTCAAAAGTGACATGTGAATGTATTTTCTTGGATTGAAATATATGGAGGCCAAATATATGTTTTTAAAATATATATTTAAATTGTAAAAATATATTTTCAAAAATATACCAAAATGGCCAGAAAAATGATATTAATAGAAAATTTATTTACGTTATATATATGAATATGAAATATTAAAATTGATATTTTTTTTGGCCAAAAAAAAATGGATGTTCTTAGTTTAGAAGAATTCACAAATATCTCTAAGACAGTTTTGAATGATGAGTTTGAAACTAATATACAAAGGCGCTTTAGAGAAAACAAATTTGACTTTTGACTCGAAAGCTCACATATGCAGGCCAGTGCGTGCATTCTACACTGTATTCTCGTACAGATCTCTGTGCAGCCAGTGATGTCTGAGCTCATGACCATAACAAAGCAACAATGCCAGACTGGATTCCAGCCCGGCTTGAAGTTCTTGGAGGGCAGAAATGCGCTGAAGCTGCTGAGTGCATCCTGCATTCATTAATTCAGTGAAGTCTCGCGGTGTTCACGCAAGCTCTCAGACATCTTGCGTTTGTCAGACCGCTACGAATCTGCTACGAATCCCACCCAGCACTGCTCGATCGCCGTCACACCTTCACATGCGGGGCTGAACTGAGTTTGCGCGCTTGAGACACTCGGAGAGGATCGCGTGCGGCGTTATTTCCCAATTGTGCGTCATTTCTGCCTTTCTGCGTTTCTTCCACCCAGTCAATATGGCAACACCCGCCGCTGTAAACCCATCGGGTGAGTAGAAATTTTTTCCTTTCGCTTTTAAATACAACGGAGATGGGTGTTTAAGCGGAAACCGAACGTCGGCTTTTGACGCAATATTGTGTTTTCGCGATAACAAAAGAAACCGCGACGCTTTAAACGCACGCACGCAAGCCCCCCCTCCCCCCACGCAAGGAACAACAGCGACATTTAGAATTTAAAACGCTACATTGTATCATCTCGTATATCGCTAACATAACATTCATTCTTTCGTGACTATAGAACGGAAATGTATCACATTTGGCTTTATTCTGCCGCGGCTGTTTGCTAATGCAAATTAGATGCTGAATACATTTGCCACAAGCCAGTACGTGCTTTGATTTCCTTGATACGCGACTGTTGAATCTGATACGTTGCTTATGGGACTGTAATAGTGATGTAAGGATATTTTGTTATGAGCTTTTGATGCTTCGGTGACAGCAGACACACAGCATTTATGATTATGTACAAATAGCAGCATGATAAGTAGCAGGATTGAGATAAAAAGGTAAAGTGACACTACGAGATGTAAACAAAAGCACTGGAAGGCTGTCATGAGCTCGTACAGAGAACTTTTTAATGAAAGTTTACCTGAATGTGTGAAGGTTTTAGTCACTGAATAAGAGAAAGGCAGTGGACTTGTTGCTGTTTTAGGTTTTAATGCTGTTCTGCCTCCAGAGTCACGATTATGTGGGCATCTGTGGTCTATTTTAGTCATCACAGAATGTTCTAGTGCTTAGATATTTATCACCTCTGAATAACAACCAAAAAGGACGTAGAAGGTCAAACTTATGAAAATGGAATGTAAATTGTAGTGAAGTCAAAGTCATGCTTACATCAGGCATCAAAGAACTATAACTCTGTAAAGCCCAAAATATAAAATAAATTAGTTTTGTTCTGACTATTTTTAAAAATGGAACTGTTTATTTTTTTAATGCATCAGTTTTATTCCGAGGCCCAAACTGAGCAAAAATATGCAATTTGGTGCAGATACTAATATTTATATTGACAATTCTGATAGCTTATAATGTAAATCAAGGAGATCTTTACAACAGACTTACATAAATGATATTTAAATACTTAGTTTGATGAAAACATAATACAGACAACAGAAGGCATATAGCATCATAAAAAACACATGTTGTTCAGATGTAATTTGACATATAATTGTTGTTAGTAGTATTTAAAGGGCGACTTATAATAGCATACAGTGAATTTGACTGACACATTAAGAGCATTGTCTGTTAGTCTTGTGATGGACTGGTCGTGTCCAGCGTGTTTCGCAGCCTTCAGCCTGAGACTCCAGCATCATGTGACTCTGCATGCGGTTTGGAGAATAGATTTAAATTAGTTTTGTTCTGACTATTTTAAAAAATGGAACTGTTTATTTTTTTAATGCATCAGTTTTATTCCGAGGCCCAAACTGAGCAAAACTATGCAATTTGGTGCAGTTGTAATTTATATGGCCAAAAAGTAAGATGAGATTCTGATAGCTTGTAATGTAAACCAATGAGGTCTTTATAGAAAACAGACTATGTGCATAACTCTATATCTCCCAGTAATATGACTTAGTAAGATGATATTCAAATGCTTCTATTTAATGATCAAAGCTCTGTAGTTTCAGAACATATAATGCAATGCAATACAGTGATGATTGAGAGACGAGCAAATAAACCTTCCTCAGAAGCCTGATGGATCATATTTCCTTCTCTCATTTCTAACTTTTTCTAAAAAGTAATGTATTGGTAATCAAGTAAACCTAAGTTGCTTGAGTCCAGTAAGTGTTCATCTTGAAACTTTCTAAAAAAATATAAAAGTAAATTTTATAAAGATCAGTAAACATTTCACAGCAAAAAGACACTTATACTAAAAGGCCTTTTTCTTGCTGAAAAAGTATGAACTATCAATCAGACGACAGAAGGCATGTAGTAGATTGTGTGCAACAGGTTTTTGGCGAAGTTTTATGGCCTTAGAAATTCATGCATCAGCTATTTTTACATACAGTAAAGCACAATACTATTGGCCTGATAAAACTGATACTATGTTTTAAAAAAAACATACATCTGATCAATTTTATGCAACAGACTTCACTCAGACTTGGTTAGTGATTGTTCAGAGGAAACATGTCACAGAAACCTACTGCTGCTCAGTTTATTCAGTCACTTGCTAAAGTAAATTACGCTCCATGACTCCATTGCTTCCACGAACACTCTTTTCCCCCCAGCGGCAATTCCTTCCCCAGCACCTCATTGTAAATGCAAATGAGTCGAAATGAATAAAGAATGTGAGCGTTATTAGCACCTGGTTGACATGCCGAGCTGCCAAGCACGCTTTAAAATGCACAAGAGCATTCTGGGGTGGAGTCACATGACTGTAGTTGAACTGAAGGGCACTTTGTTTTAAAGTCAGCTAGCTTTTATTTCACTTGCTTAACAAATCTATAGGCCATCTGTACTTTTCCCATTATGCCCACAATGCCCGGTTGCAGCGCAGCCGCGATAAGAACGCGTTTCGTACAAATAGCAGTAGGCGTTTGTGAATGGGGATTACAGGCACAGTTGATTAGCAACAGTTCGGACTGTTTGCCGACCTCTTGTGTTTGTGAAGGAAGCCTTTCTGTTGAAAGGAGTGATGGATAACAGGACTGACCAGAAGTGTAGCATTGCTAAGAAGGAATTGTGTGCATATGGTGTCTGCTGCATGAGCTAGCAAATGCTGTAGGATTGACTTTATTTACTTATTTTCGTTTCTGCATGGGCTTTGAGTAAGGCTGAGATTGATATATGATGATACAGTGGTGTGAAAAAGTGTTGGCCCCCTTCCTGATTTCTTATTTTTTTGCGTGTTTGTCACACTTTAATGTTTCAGATCATCAAACAAATTTAAATATTAGTCAAAGATAACACAAGTAAACACAACATGCAGTTTTTAAATGAAGGTTTTTATTATTAAGGGAAAACAAAATCCAAAACTACATGGCCCTGTGTGAAGAAGTGTTTGCCCCCCTGTTAAAACTGTGGTTTATCACACCTGAGTTCAATTTCTCTAGCCACACCCAGGCCTGATTACTGCCACACCTGTTCGCAATCAAGAAATCTCTTAAATAGGACCTGCCTGACAAAGTGAAGTAGACCAAAAGATCCTCAAAAGCTAGACATCATGCCGAGATCCAAAGAAATTCAGAAACAAATGAGAAAGAAAGTAATTGAGATCTATCAGTCTGGAAAAGGTTATAAAGCCATTTCTAAAGCTTTGGGACTCCAGCGAACCACAGTGAGAGCCATTATTCACAAATGGAAAAAACATGGAACAGTGGAGAACCTTCCCAGAAGTGGCCGGCCGACCAAAATTACCCCAAGAGCACAGCGACGACTCATCCAAGAGGTCACAAAAGACCCCACAACAACATCCAAAGAACTGCAGGCCTCACTTGCCTCAGTTAAGGTCAGTGTTCATGACTCCACCACAAGAAAGAGACTGTGCAAAAATGGTCTGCATGGCAGAGTTCCAAGACGAAAACCGCTGCTGAGCAAAAAGAACATAAAGGCTCGTCTCAGTTTTGCCAGAAAACATCTCGATGATCCCCAAGACTTTTGGGAAAATACTCTGTGGACTGAAGAGACAAAAGTTGAACTTTTTGGAAGGTATGTGTCCCATTACGTCTGGCGTAAAAGTAACACTGCATTTCAGAAAAAGAACATCATACCCTGACCTGAATCCTATTGAGATGCTGTGGCATGACCTTAAAAAGGCGGTTCATGCTCGAAAACCCTCCAGTGTGGCTGAATTACAACAATTCTGCATAGATGAGTGGACCAAAATTCCTCCACAGCGCTGTAACAGACTCATTGCAAGTTATCGCAAACGCTTGATTGCAGTTGTTGCTGCTAAGGGTGGCCCAACCAGTTATTAGGTTTAGGGGGCAAACACTTTTTCACACAGGGCCATGTAGTTTTGGATTTTGTTTTCCCTTAATAATAAAAACCTTCATTTAAAAACTGCATGTTGTGTTCACTTGTGTTATCTTTTACTAATATTTAAATTTGTTTGATGATCTGAAACATTAAAGTGTGACAAACATGCAAAAAAAATAAGAAATCAGGAAGGGGGCCAACACTTTTTCACACCACTGTATGTATACTGTGTGACAATATAAGTGTGTGAAATTTGCTTTACTGTTTATACCATATTCAACTGATATGTTTCACAATTGTGCGTTTATTGATTGTATAATATTTTAAAGTCAGAGCTACCTGTTTTATAACAATAGTTTATTTTTATTTTTATAACATTACCATTCACTTTTTTTAGTCTATTTTTAGTTCTACTTTTTATGTTTTTGACCCGTGTCTCAGAATGTGAAGCTATTTATTTGGTATGAATAATCTGGACTTTTGGTTAAATGCACATATATTTAAACAAAAACTGCAAAAAAGCTGAAATTAATAAAATATAAATATTAGATAAAAAAAATGTCAAGAAAAGTGAGAAATATTGCATTGGCAAGTTGAAGTACTAAAATGACAAACTAAAACTGAAATAAAAACATTTCCGACTTGCACAAATTACTAAAGCACTTATCAAAATTACTAAAACTTAAACTAAAATTAAAATCAAAGCTGAAAATAATAATGAAAGTGAAAAGTTAAATAAAAATATTAATAAATAGTATATTAATAACACTAAAATAACACTGATGGTCATGCATATGGACATGGTCCATAACATTGCAGTTTGTCTCCAAAATCATACAGCAAATCCATACATTTTTATTTTGTTTTCTGAAGGGATTTTGGACCTTTTAAATAGACATACAAACTGAGAGCTTTGATTGAGATTTCTGTTAAATAATTGGACACACATTTATATCAGTATAATTAAGTGGGATGTTTTATGTAAATAACCCTCTGCTGTAACATAGCAGCATTTCCCTGCACTTTTACTTGCATTTTTATGCGCTTCAACTATCAATATAGTTTTTAACAGCTCTATCC